GGGGTTGGGTCCCCAAGTCCTCAGGCACTCTGCCTCTATGGCTTTCCTTGTCTCCCACCGTGCTTCAGCTCTCATAGGCTGGTGGTGCTCCAAGTCTGGAGTCTCCACAGCGGTTCTGCTCTCACAGTTCCACTAGATATGGCACTGATGGTATTTTTCTGCTGCAACTCTGACCCCACATTTCCTCTTGACATCACTCTAGCAAAGACTCTATGCAGGGAATCCAGCCCTGCGACAGATCTTTTCTTGGATCCCCACGCTTTTCTATGCATCCTTTGAAATTGGGGTGGAGTTTCCCAAGCCTCTACAGTTCTGGCATTGTGTGAGCGTGCAAACTTAATACCAGGTGGATTCTGCCAAGACTTCTGGCTTGTATGTCCCAAAGCTGCGGGTCCAGCCACTCCTGGGGCCAATTTAGCCATGGCTGGAGCAGCCAGAGCAGCTGGGGTGCTGGTGCTGGAAGCTTCTTCCTGAGGTGGCCCTGGACAGAGAGCCTATGGAGGGTGCCCCAGGCCTGTTCCTGAGACCATTCTGTCTCCCTAGGCCTCTGGGCCTGTAACGGAAGATGCAACCTCTGATATGCCTTCAAGGTTTTTTTTCCCTTTTCTTGATAATCCCTTTCTTCTGTACTCATCTCCTTAACGAAGGGTCCCTGGGCTACACCCTTGCTTTTGTGGCCAGGCTGAAATTTTTCCAATTTTTTGCCCTCTGCTTTCTTTTGAATTATAAATTCATAACTTTGCTGCCATAACTCAGCGTAGGCTGTTACAAGTAGCCATGCAGCTTCCTGAGTGTTTTACTGCTTAGAAATTTCTTCCGCCAAATACCCTGGGCCAGCACCTTGAAGTTCCATATTCCATAAAACTTTTGGGCGTGAACAGAATGCAGCCAAGTTCCCTGCCAGTTCATAGCAAGGGTGATCTTTGTTCCAGTTTCCAATAAGTCCCTTCTCATTTACATCTGAGATCTTCTCAGTATGGCCTTTACTGTCCATATTTCTATCAGCATTCTGCTCGCCACCATTTAACCAGTCTCTAAGAAGTTCCAAACTTTCCCTGGTTTTCTTGTGTTCTAATTCCCACCAGCAGCTAGGCTTTTCCTGGCCTGTTCCTCCAAATTCCTCCAGCTTCTACTCAACCTCCAGTTTCAAAGCTGTTTCCACATTTTCAAGCATTTGTTATAAGCAACAGCCCACTTCTCTGGTATCAGTTTTCTGTATTAGTCCATTTCTGTTGCTAATAACAAAATACCTGGAACTGGGTAATTTGTAAGAAAATGAAATTTATCGCTTACAGTTTCAGAGGCTGGGAAGTCCAAAGTCCAGGGAACACATCTGGTGAGGGTCTTCCTTGGTGGTGATTTCAGTGACACAAGGTATCACATCACAAGACGGTGGAAACAGAGAGAGAGCGAGCTCCTCGTGTGCTCTCCTTTCACAGCCCTCAGAACCATGCCCGGCATTTCAAGAATGGATCCATCCATTTATGAAGGTACAGTCCTCACAATCCAATCACTTCTTCAAGGACCCACCTTTCAACTCCCACAGTAACATTTCCCACCATCGTAACAGTGTCACAGCGGGGGTCAAGTTTGGGGGGGACATTCAATCGAAGGCAGAGAGGATAGTGGGTAAGGTGTGGCTCTGGATTTGAACCCTTGCTTTCATTCCTTCTAGCCACGTGGCCTTGGACAAAGTGCCTAACCTTGCCCACCCTCAGTTTCCTCATCTGTGAAATAAGGTTCCTCTAAGAGTTACACGTAAAGCACTTAGCTCAGTTTCTGGCACACAGTGAGTGCTCAATAAGCATTTGTTATTGTTGAAGGTGAAGCCATACCATTAAATAAATATTAACAATAATGGGTAATGAGTTATGATGAGGGAAGTACAAAGTGTCATGGGAACCATAGCGGGGACCTCCAGTCCAGTCCAGGGTTAGGAAAGGCTGTCCAGAGGAAGTGCTATTTAAATTGAGAGGTGAGAGTTGGCTAGAGCAAGGGCTGTGTATGTGTGGTGTTTCTGGCAGGTGGAACAGCTTGTGCAACAGAAGAGGCATGGCATACTGGAGAGACCGAAATATATCAGAATGTCACATACTGTCTGTGTTGATGAAAAAGTTCTCTGTGGTGTCCAATATGGCAGCCACTAGTTACATACGACTATTGGAAATGTGGCTAAGGAGACAGTAAAAGTGAATGTTTCATTTTATTTTATTATAACTGATTTAAATTTAAATAGTCACCATGGCTAGTCACTACAATACTGGATGACGCAGGCAGGGTTGCAATGAGTGATGGAGGTGGAGATGGGGAAGGGCATCTGGACTCGGTCGCGGGGATGGTGGTATGGAGTTTGCATTTTCTTCCAAGCGCCATGGGAAGCCATGGCAGGGGTAGGGGTGGGGGTGGGATTAAGCTGAGCGAAGCAATCTGCTTTTCACTTTAACAGATCATGTCTGTTGCTTTAAGGCATATAGATTTGAGGGTGGGGATAGTTTGGAGGTGGCTACAATCACCACAGGATAGTGGCTTGGACCAGGCAGAAAGAGAGACAAATTTTGGAGGTGAGCTGGATCAGGGAGTTAGGAATAAGGGAGGGGAAGTCCTAGGGCTACTTGGATGGTGGCTGTGTCCCCAAGCCCCAAGGCTGAGTCCAGACCGGGACAGGGCCGTGAGATCTTGTTTCAGCTGTACGTGCAGGCCTCTGTCCACACCCGCTGGCTGGTGCTGGAAGCACTTTAACTGGGGGAACCTGAGACATCAGGGTCCCCGGAGAAGAGGCTGGGGGAAGCCCCAGGAGGTGGGAAAGTTCCCCCAAGCTGCTAGGTGGGTGAGTGGGGCTGCATTCCTGGGGTATCTGCTGGCCTGAGCTTCTCCACTCCCTGGGGGCTGTCCACATACCTCTCTGTCCCCCTGATGGGTCAGCCAGGACCTGGTTTTGATCCGCAGGGCTGCTGGAAGGCTGTCGTGGTGGGGACGCGGAGGAAGCAGATGCCAGCACCCCAGGGCTGCCTCTGCGCCCGCCCTACGGGGCCTCGCGGCTGGACGAGGGGCGGGGTGCGGGGCGTGTCTCCCCGAGCAGGGTGTGGCCCGCGGTCCGCATGGCCGGTCCCTGATGGCCGGGGACAGTTCCAGCCCCAGTCCCCAGCGTGCCGACTGGCCGGGTGGAGCGGGGCGGGGGACACGGGAGGCCGCAGCCCGCGCGGGCAGCGCAGCGCTCGGAGGCGGCTGGAGGTTCCCGCGGCCCCTCCCGGCTTCACTTCCTCCCGCAGCCCCCGTCGCCCGCCCCGCCGAGCGGCTCCGGGATCCCAGCGGCCCGCG